AGATGAGGGTATAGGTCGGCATCATACTGTCAGGAAGACACCACAGCAGAACGGTGTAGCAGAACGGGTTAATCAGACACTGCTAGAGAGAGTTCGATGCATGCTCTCTAATGCAGGGCTTGGGAGGAGGTACTGGAGTGAAGCTGTGTTAACAGCTTGTTATGTCATTAATAGGGGTCCTCATTCTGGAATTGATTCCAAAATTCCGTTTGAGATCTGGAGTGGTAAGTTGCCTAATTTTTCGAATTTGAAGATTTTTGGTTGTGTTGCTTATTATCATGTTATTGAGGGTAAGCTGGATCCACGAGCCAAGAAGGGGTGTTTTGTTGGGTACGGGGATGGTGTGAAGGGGTTTAGAATTTTTTCACCTTCGGAGGGTCGGGTCATTCTTAGTAGGGATGTTACTTTCGATGAAAACACCATGTATTCAATTAAAAATGCAGAGATTTCAGATTTGAGAAGGGAAGGAGACAATTTATTACAGACAGATGGGGTACTTGAGGTACATCAGTCTACCATTGCTGATTTACCTCGGGTACAATATATTGATGATGATGCTGATGTTCCAGTGCCGGGTACTCCTGAACCTGAGATTACTCCTACTCATTCTAACTCTGGGGATGAGGTGGAGCAATCTAATCAGGGGTCATCTAGTCAACCTGACACCATTCTTGAGATGCCTAAACGAGTTATCAAGAAGCCTGTTAGATTGATTGAAGAGATGGAGGGAAGAAATTGCTGTGTTGATGCGATGACAGGTTATGCATTGAGTGTAGCTGATGATGTAGAGTCATTTGAACCTGCCACATATAAACAAGCAATTAGTTGTAGTGAGTCTGCGCAATGGCTTGCCGCAATGGGTGAAGAGATGCAGTCTCTTTACAAGAACAGAGTGTGGGAACTGGTAAAGGTACCGGAAGGGAGGAAGCTTGTGGGTTGTAAATGGATTTACAAGAAGAAAGAAGGGTTGTCGGAAACTGAGCAAATACGTTTTAAGGCTAGGCTAGTTGCTAAGGGGTTCAGTCAGGTAGAAGGGGTTGATTTTGTTGAGATATTCTCACCTGTGGTTCGACATACTTCTATCCGTGTGTTATTGTCAATTGTAGCACATTTTGATCTTGAGCTGGAGCAGTTGGATGTTAAAACGGCTTTCCTTCATGGCGATTTGGAGGAGGAGATTCTGATGAAGCAGCCCGAAGGATTCGAAGTTCCTGGAAAGGAACACTATGCCTGCAGATTGCTAAAGTCATTGTATGGACTTAAGCAATCCCCCCGACAGTGGTACAAAAGGTTTGATTCTTTTATGGTTTCACAAGGTTTTGACAGGAATTCATATGATTGCTGTGTGTATCATAGTAAGCTGGATAATGGTTCCATGATTTATCTTTTGTTATATGTTGATGACATGTTGGTTGCCACAAAGAATAAATCTGATATTGCTAGATTAAAGGAGATGCTTAACTCGGAGTTTGACATGAAAGACTTGGGTGCAGCTAGGAAGATTTTGGGTATGGAGATCTACAGGGATCGGGCTAGAGGTAAGCTTTTCTTGACTCAGAAAAGCTACATTGAAAAGATTTTGTCTCGTTTTGGGATGGAAAAATCGAAGCCTATAAGTACGCCAACTACTGTTAGTTGTAAGTTGTCTTTGTCTATGTCACCTCAATCAGAGGAGGAGTTGTCTTATATGTCTAGAGTTCCATATGCAAATGCGGTTGGTTGTTTGATGTATGCTATGGTCTGTACTAGGCCGGATATTGCGCATGCCGTTAGTGTTGTAAGCAGGTTTATGGCTCGACCTGGGAGGGAACACTGGCAAGGGGTGAAAAGGATTTTTCGCTACCTGAGAGGGACAGCTGATATTGGTCTTGTGTACGGGAATGGTAAGGAATGCTTGGTCACTGGGTACAGTGATTCTGATTATGCAGCTGATGTGGATACCAGGAGGTCTGTGACTGGTTATGTGTTCACTTTGGGTGGTTCTGTGGTTAGTTGGAAGTCTACATTGCAGTCATCAGTTACGTTGTCAACTACTGAAGCTGAGTATATGGCTCTAACTTCTGCAGCTAAGGAGTCTATTTGGCTCAAAGGCCTAGTAGGTGAACTGGGTATTGCACAGGATTTTGCTACAGTGTATTGTGATAGTCTAAGTGCGATTTGCTTAGCTAAAGATCAAGTACACCATGATCGGACGAAGCACATTGATGTCAGGTATCATTTCTTACGTACTGACAAGAGGATTAAGGTGAAGAAGATTGGGACTGCTGACAACCCGGCTGATTTCTTCACTAAGCCTGTTCCGTTTAGCAAGTTTAAACATTGCTTAGACTTGCTAAATATTGATTACTACGTGATGTAGTAGGCCCTGAGGGGCGAAGTTGGGGAGCTCCTGGTGTAGGTGTGTTGGCATTAAGGTGGAGCTTGCCCGGGGCTTGTGATGCAGGTGGAGCATTATGAGTTGTTATACTTGGAGACGAGTATGTGATGGGTCTTGGTTGAAGACTTATCGGGATGTATGGCTTATGCATGAGTCCTGCATCGGGTTTGGCTTGAGATGTTTTTTCACTATGTCTTGATGGGGTCGTTTGCTGACTACGAGTTCTCGTCAAGGTGGAGATTGTTGATAAGTATATTAGGTGACTCGTACTTCGTAGCTTTGTCCGCCCGATCGGGCGGACATTGCCCGGTCTGACCGGGCGGAAGAAGAAGAAGTGCCTGGCAAATTCGTTGAAGAAGCTGCTCTCGCGCCCGACCGGGCGAGCCTTCGCCCGACCGGGCGAGCCTTCGCCCGACCGGGCGAGCCTTCGCCCGATCGGGCAGACCTTGCCCGGTCTGACCGGGCGGTGGGGGTTGGATACGTTGAAGCATTCGTATGGAGTTTTCTTCTCGCGCCCGATCGGGCAGACCTTGCCCGGTCTGACCGGGCGGAGAAGGAAAAATGCGGAGACGCGGATTTTACGATTTAAAGTTATCTTTTATGTTATCTTTTTGCCCAAGTATCTTTTATTTTAGGGATTAATATAAAACCTCCCTAATATTAGTATAAGGGTTAAGAGAGAGAGAGTGAGAGCCGTTCTTGAGAAATACAAGAATCATCTTTGTAATCTTTGCAGTTTATAGTGAAATCATTCGATCTCGGTGCCCGTGGACGTAGCTATCACATCGATAGTGAACCACGTAAATTCTTGGTGTTGTTCTTATTGTTTGCATTGAATTTCTTTATTGTTTTCTTGTTTGTTTTCGACCTTTGCTTCCGCTGTCGCACAACAGTATGAATGATGATACAATTGTTTAAATTTTTCCAAAAAAAAAAAAAAAAAGAATTGAATCATTTACTTGGGCTACTAAAAAAATAATACTTTGTAGAATTTTATTTGGTCCCCAAAATAATATTCGATTTCAATTCATACATGCATGTTAGTAATTTAATCTCTTGTTCATATATTACGACTTACGAGTATTGTAAGACTTTACAAGTGCATACGTAAAGAATAGAAAGCTTCATTCTAATTCTATAGGAAAAGATGAAGAAGAAATTGCATCATCAAATATATGCCTTTGGGCTTTGTGGATTAGGTATCCAAAGAATTATGCCTTCTATCCAAAAGCCCAACAATTTATTGGTTTACTTGGCAAGCATAACAAGTTTTTTTTTTTTTTTTTTTTTTTTTAATGCATAACAAGTTAACAACTACGAAGTAGTAAAATAATATCTCAAATGTTGGACGAATTAATAAGTTTCCTTAAAACATCAGAAGAATCTATAGGAAACATAATTTGTGGAGGTAATAATTCCGTAATTTTTAGATTAACTTATTGATCTATGCTTTTAAGTACAAGAATATGTTCCAAAGTTTATCCATAAACTCAAGTGGCAACGCATCTTATTGATGTCTATTTTGTCCATTCTAATGCTGGATTCCTTCATTTTTAATATTGTTTTACAAGTGTATTTTATTTTTATCCTAGCTAATTGAGTTGAACCAATACTTGGCGCCTCTAGCTAACTAATTCAAGCTCGAGTCAGGCAACTAAAGTGTGGTGGAAGCGGAACCTATGTACTCTAATAAAAAATATTCAGTTCAGTTCAGTTCTGCTCTAATCAATTTAAATTTATTAAGCTCGGTTCAGTAAATGTGAATAGGTAAGACCGTAAGAGTGAAACCTCAAATAAGTAAGGTGATGATATATTCCAACATTTTATTCATTAACCTAGGCTCATACTCATTTATGTTATAATCTATCATAATTCATAAAGGCTTTTAACCTTTTTGAGTAGTCTGGGATTGTGCTCAAAAACATTATTTATTTATTTATTTTATTATTTTTTTTTTCATTCATTGTTGCACTGCCAATTTACCATTACAGTTTTGTTTTGCACAAACAAATGCAAAACTTTGCCATTACCAGATCACATTACACATACAGTGATACAGGATATCTTAAAGGTGTGAAAAAAGGCTTTATTTGTGCTTAAACTTAAGATCTAAATTGTAAGATTATTATATTTACTAAATGAACTTAACAAAATCTCCCTAGAATAATCTTTTTGTTTTGAAAATGTTTGACAGTAAATAATTATTTACTAATTACTTGAGCTATAAGGTATGGTAAAAATGTAAGATTCACGTTAATTTTTTTTTTTTTTTTTCCAGATAATATATAATATATTCCGTATAAATAACCTTTTTCCGAGTTCACATGATCATAGTTTAAAATGGTAAATTATTAACAATTTACGCATCAATTATCAGATTGTTATATACGGAGTAGTTATTTTAATTAAAATTACGGAGCCAGAACATTTAAAAAAAAACATAATCCGACAGAAAAAGTTGGATAATTCGAAATTTGTACTGTAAAACACCATTAAAGTTCATAACAACATAACTTCAACAACAAGTTTGCTAATAACAGTAATTATTATTAATATTATTATAGTAGTCGTAGTTACATTAACACTAATAGTAGAAGTATGTCTCAGATTTGTACTACTACTCTTCAACTAAAACTGTACATTCATCCAAAATAAAAATCACGCACTACAATTTCTGATAGTAAAGTGTCAAAAAACATAACACTTCCTATCATACTCTGTTTTTCCTCTGTTTTCTCTAATCTTTCTCAGAGAGTAATTAACATAATCATCAATTTATCACTATTAATCATTATTTAATTACTCATAATTACCGTAATTATGCTTAATTACTCAAAACAACCGCCAATTTCTCTTCTCGTAAAAACTTCTGCTGTTTCTGAATAAACGCTTCAACTTTCCTGTTGAATTCTTCGTTACTCAATTCATCCTCTTCAAACCTCCGATGAATCACCGGCGATTCCTCGATTTTCCGGCGAACTTCCGTTTCTGATCGCCGGAGTTCTTTCTTCTCCTCCTTTACAACAACCATTTCCGAAGTCGATTTCGTCCTTCGATACACTTTCTCCTCCGATTCTCTCTCCTCCGCCGCCGAAACCACCGCCGGAACTTCGCTAACGATCTTCTCCGTCACGCCGGAGATTCCGCCGTCGACATTATCAGACTCATTTCTTTCGCCGGAGATTCCGATTTCGACATTAACGGACTCAATTTTTGCTTCGGATAATTCTTCTTCGGTTTGATCGGAGGTTTTCTTCTCGGAGGAAGACTTAGCGAAGAGAGTGATGATAATGACGTTTCCGATGAGAAATACAAAGTGAGGACAAAGGAGGAGAGAGAAAATCCGGCGGAAAAAAGCGCCGGAAAATTCTAAAACGGCAGGAAGATAGGAAGAAGTGAAGGAGAGAGAAAATGAGACGAACATAATCGCGATGATAACTTCAACAGTTCGAACAATGTTAGCGATCTTCTTGAAAGTTCTATATCGTCGCATCGCTTTCTCTTTCTCCATTTTAATGGTGTCGAATTCATGAAAGGAAGATGAAGATGACTCCATTGAATTTGAAATTGTTTTGAGGAGAGAGAAAATGGATTAGAATAACTGTGAAACGGTTTTGGTCTGAAGAAAAGTGGAGTTTGAGGAGAGAGAAAATGGTGAATTGGGGAAGAAAAGGAGAGAGAAAGAGAGTGGTAGTGTTGAAGAATGGAGTTGTGGGGAATGGGGGGAATTTGAGGGTTTTTTATAGGGCTATCCATGGCATTTTAGGTCCATGATTACTACTTTTTTTTTTTAAAAAAAAAAAGTAAATGTAGTTTGTATTGTTAGAATTTCATATTAGATGCCCTATAATGGAGGGATGTTAAAATGGATGCTTCCACACGTTATAATGTTAACAATTTTTTTTTTATGAAAACCTTATAATAATAAATGATAGTACGTATTATTACTAGTTTACTACTACTACGACTATTAAAATCTACACGGAACAAGTAATACAATACATACACGATTTTTTAAAGTATAATTGTACTTTATGTGATAATGAATAAATGTAATTGATGAAATTTTGTGAAGTTACTAATTAGTGAGTAACAAATTTTATTTTTGTTTAATGAAGCATGTTAATTGATTTTTTTAAATTGGTGACCTTACTAAAGCAAACCCACAAAATTTGGATATAAGGCTGTTTTATTCATGGAAGTACATTAATTATGAATAACAAGATTTTACATAAATGGTCATTCCATTTCCATTATTACTCACTACGAAATACTTAGGGCCTGTTCACATTTACTTAATTTCAATTCAGTTCGGTTCAGTTCAGCTCCAATCAGTTCAGTTCAGTTCAGTTCAGCTCTTAATTTCCCTCTCTCATAAAATATTCGTTTCAGCTCAATTCAGTTCAGTTCAGCTCAATTCAGTTTAGTTCAGTTCAGCTCCAATCAGTTCAGTTCAGTTCAGTTCAGCTCCAATCAATTCAATTCAGTTTAGTAAATGTGAACAAACCCTTAGTAGTCTGTACTATTTAGGGTTTTTGGCTGTCATTGGTGACAAATTTGTTTCAATGTAAAATTAGTCATACAAAAGTATATATTGATGTAGAAGAAATTTGTATCTAGATGTAAAGTACTTTCCTAGAACTTTAATCAACGATAGTTGTCATTCACGTCAAAGTAAAATTGCTCGTGAGCTTACTGTGTTTCCATGAACAATTGTTGAACATATTAGAAATATAATAATATTGCGTAATTAACTCTAAAAAGTCGGTAATTATGATAGATAGTTTTTTGTAGGGCAAATTAAAACAAAGAAGATAAAAACTCGATCATATATTGGGGTTGGGGGGACTATTGCGTATTGTCAAAGTTTTAGTCAATACAAAAAGACGAAGTAGAGAGGAGAATAATTGTTTGTTTGGAATCTCCCTATTTTTATTTACTTCCCATAATTTTGATAAACGACAAAGATTCCTAGCATTACATTCATTAGACATTTCAACAACCTTAGCAAAGGTTTTATAAGGTCGACAAATTACTTGATGTAGCAATATCATTTCAAGTAAATTTCCTTGTTTGTAGATTGATTCTTGTATAAAGTCATATAACTTGTCTCATATAATTTAAGAGGTAGTAATTACTATGAGTACATAATAATTAACTAATACTTTTCTAATTGTCAATTAAAAAAGTATTGACAATCAGAAAAGTATTAGGCAATCTTTTGACAAGCTAATTAAGCAATCAAGAAAATACTAATTTGTATAATTTATACATGAAAATAAGGGATTAGAGGTTAAGCTAATGAAGCAAATGAACACCATACAGTAACATGTAAGAAATGATATATAAACGAACATTTTTACCCATATTATTCTAACATAATTAATATTTAAAGAAAAGTTAATTATATACTTCCTATGTTCTTTTTTATTTGACCTGTTTCTTTTAACACGTTTGCCAATGCAAAACTTTAACGATCAATAACTTTAATTTTCCATAAGTAAAAATTATAAAAGTTATATATTATGATAGTACTTATTGAGACGAACCCAAAGAGATCATACATGAATATATTTTTCCTTACATATTATTCACAAATGACGGTCAAAGAAGGGGTGATGAACAGTGTAAAAGTCAAAGCGGGCCAAATTATAAAAAAACGGAGGAAGTACTAATTTACGCCGTCTCACTACTCTTCTTTGTACCAACATAAGAGAAATTGCCAAGAAAAGAGGGGAAAAGGGAAGAATAAGAAGAAGAAGACAGGAGCTAGTATTAGTTAGAAATAAGTTAAATTAATCCCTAGGCTTACGTTATTAGCCGGCAGGCTAATTAAAGCCTATATGGGGGCATGGTTGCTACTTGCTAGTGCTTCAAATCCTTTTCTTACAAGTGCGTTGCTATCAATACTTTGATCATATGAGCCCGGAATTATAAGTTTATATATATCAAATTTATTATTTTGAGCTCCACATAATAAGGGTCTGTTCTTATAGACCGAACTCAGCTGAATTGAACTGAATATTTTATAAGAGAAGGAAATTAGGAGCTGAACTGTACTGAACTAATTTGAATTGAACTGAAAATAAACGTATGAACAGGCCCTAAGATTATGTTAAACGCAGTTATAAAGATTCAGTTGTCTGTAAAATTTATATAGACCAATAGATTTTGTTTTAATAATTAAATATCAGTTAATAATCTTTCGATTACTAAGAATAATCATATCAAAAATTTTATGTAAAGCATGTATATTACATATATCCTAAACCAAACCGAAAAATGAAATAAAATGTCTTACACTTTACAAATGTTACTATTGCCACTCTTATACTCTTCAATCCAACATCTATCTCTTTTTTGAGGAAATCCAACATCTATCTCACATAGGAAAAGATAACACAAAATTTCTTGTAATGGCAAAACTGAGCTCGAGTACAACACTATTTGATTGCTACTATAAACCTTCCTTAATGATTAAAAACTTAATTAACCCTTTCTTCTAAATAAGACGATAAGATTTTTGTCCAATGGACAAACTTTTCATAATGCCCCATTCCTTCTATTTTTGTTACATTTTGCAACTAAAAGATTAGAAATAAGTAACATAGATTATATAATTATGAAATAAAGTCCATAGTTTTAGTTCATGTATGTATAATTCAATGGCCGCTAGGCCCTATATACGCTTATCTTGTTTATATTCAAAATTCAGTGTACTTAGTACTATTATTAATTTGAAATGCATTATTATGATTTGGTCCATGATACTAAGATTGAACGATGATGTCAATGGAAATTGTAATAGTAATATCCAAGAAGAAAAAGATTATTTAACTATGTTAAGTGAACCTTAGTTCATAGTAGTAGTATCGAGTAAATATCTAGCTTCAATTTTTTGTTTGTAAGACTTGGCTTCAATTATTGGGGGTTGGTTCACAAATTTGTCATCCTTGAAAACCTTTAAATGACTCCTTTTCTTGGGATCAAAAGTCTCATCCTTGTAGTAAAAGGTGAAATTTATAATTTTTTGTCTAACATGATAAAATGACAATGTAAGATATCTTGGACAATCTACAACATTATTATTGTTGATGTGAAAAATGATTTCTCCACTACAAGAAAATAACATTTTCGTAGCGATTATTTTAACCTTTAGTATCGATTGTAATTGCAACCAAAAGCTATCCCAACGAATGGTCATTCGATACAATATCCCTCGTTGCCTTAGCCTTTAGTAGTGGTTTTCAATATCGCTGGGGTTGGCCTCAATAATCGATATGAAAAACTACATCCAATCGTGGTGATTATTGTAGCGATTATAATCGCTAATGATCTTTACAAGATTCAAACATGCAACCTCAAACTCTTATATTAAATGTTTCACCAATAAGCTATGACATATTTTATGTATTCTTTGTCAAACAATATTTATATATCTAGTGTTGAAAAGGCTTTTCGTATCGATTTTTAGGATTTAGTGGCGATTGTAAATGATGCGATTTCTCAAAATTATATAAATGTGTAAAAATAGAGTGGATATGTATTATTATGTTTTCCGTATCGATTTTATATGGGAAAACCATGGCGAATGTAAAATGATACGACTTCCTTAATTATTTCACAAACATACTTGCATATTGTAGCGAATGTACAATCGCTACGAAATAATCGCTACGAAAAGACATTTTTCTTGTAGTGCTCCCATATTCTAGACAATCTCTCTTCACCATTGTTTTCGAATTCGGAGACATTTTAAACTATTTCACGTCCAATTATTGTCAAAATCGCGCCTCATTCTATATTTTATAAATTAGTTCAGTTAGTTGTTTTAAAGATTTTTTCTCTTCCTTTGTCGGAAAGGACAATGAATTAATTCAACCATTTTCTAAGGCCGCTAACTCATAACTTTCAAAGCATGTTTCATATCCCCGAACACTTTTTATTTGCTTATGGAAATAATTGTGGAAACAAGATATAAATTTGCTTCCTCACCAAGATCTTTTTACTGTTTGCATAGATACATAAATAATTGATCCATAAGAGGCCAATGGTAAGAGATGACCCAAGAACTTTAAAGAAGATTTATTTCCATACTCATGAAAAATACATGAGCTAGAAAAAAGTATCGAAACACCAAAGATTGAAACATATAATGTACAAAAAAGTTAGATAAAAATTGATACATTATTTACACGGTCAAATAATTAGAAACATTCAATTGGATTGGTTGGTTATGAATAAAAAGGGAATAATTAAATTGAGAATCCAACCAACAAATAATCTTGTTGTTCTACATTTTACCATGACAGATTCAGAGTTTGACACGTACAAATAACGCCCGTGCTACTACTCTTTATTCTTTTGGTCATCACGTGACATTGTTGCTCTGCCCTAACTAATTCGGACATAACTAATTATCTACTACTAATTGGAAATACTTGCCCCATTATAGAAGTTGTTTCGTAAATTAGGTATTTATATTTTTACATTAAGGTTTGATTTTTTTTTGAAACATTGTTCTATATAAGTATCAAATGTAATGAGAAACCATTACTAGGGGCCTGTTCTCTTACGTTGAAATTCAGTTTAGTTCAGTTCAGCTCATTTTAGCTCAGCTCAGTTCAGTTCAGTTAATATTCATTTCATTTCAGTTCAGTTAAGTTCAGTTCAGTTCAGTTCAGCTCGGTTCAGTTCAGTTCAGTTCAGTTCAGTTCAGTTCAGTTCAATTCAGCTGAGTTCAGTCAATGAGAACATGCCCTAAATTTAACATTTTAGTTTTGTTCAAATTTAGATGTCAAAATTCTTAGTACAATATTCTCAATTGATTAGAAAGTCGTTCACAATATAATTCATTTTATTGTAATAATTAATTCTTAATAAAGGGTGTACATGTATAATCAACCTTCGTGTTGAACATAATAATTAAGTGTAAGTGTGTTCTAAGATAACACGCCACATTCTCCCATATATG